CCCACTTCTTCGGATGCATAGCCCACGAAAGCTTATGCTCTAATAAATTTGTTAGTCTCTAAGGTGCCACAAGTACTCCTGTTTCTTTTTTTTTTAATGTGTTCAGACATTGAAGAAGGAAAATCAGTGGCTTTTATACATGGCCTCACAATTTGAGGAGAACTTAAACTGTGTCATTATTTTCTGATAATACTGTTACTTAGCACTTTAAATTTTCAAAGGGCTGTGCAAGTGTGATGCTCCTGTATGATAGGTAACACAGTATTCTTCTTATGCTGATTGAGAGCTTGAGCTTTTGTTTACTGTTTCTTATGGAGCCCTCCACCCATGAATAATTGTCACTTTTCTTCAGTTTAAGGCTTGAGATTAGCTACTGCTCACAGACTATTGAGTGCCCAGTTAAATATGGCAGGTGTATTTATGAACCAAGCAATGGAGTTAGCCAGCTGGTCTCCATGTTTTGTTTTGTTTTCCTTTAGTCTAAAATGGTAACATAACAAGTGTTAGGGTTAGGTTTCGATTAAGAGTAGAGGGGTGAGACACAACCTCTTCTCGTGAATAATGTGTCTAATGTTTCAGATTATCATTTTCTGTGGTAATAGTAGCGTCTGATCATTGCAAATAACTGCAACACAATAGCATACAAAATCACATGCCATACCATACCACACTGTCATGAAGGTTTATCATGTAGCTTGGTTAGGTTTACTGCTATAGTTTTAATAGTAAATAATAAACTGTTAAGTTATTTTTATAGTGTTGGGAAGTCTAGACCTATACTTATGTCCGGGGGGCAGAATGTGAGAAGGAGAGTACCTCTATTTGACAGAAATGAAACATTAGTCAAAGTCACTAATTGCTTTACTGTAGTAGTTTCTTTGCATGTTTATGGAGCAAACTAGTGTGTGGGGAGTGGTGGGGGGGACAGCACTATAGTACATTACAACTGTAGACGGCAGATGTGTTGTACCTGACTCAGAATGAAGGGGGGGGTGGGGCAGAGAGAGCAAGAGGAATTTCCTGTGGGTTTGTGCTGTTGGAGCAGCACGGATAGGGTTCCACGCTGCAGGCAGGATCTAGTAGGAGATCTAAAGCCATGTTCTGTACCAGGGTTCAGAGTAATAGAGTGGCATCCTGGTAACTTAACATGCTTAAGTTCACTACAACTTTCCATCAGAAACATTTTCAACTATTAAAAAAATGCAGTGTCTGCTTTCCTCAACTTTTTTTTTAATTGAAAATGGTTGCCCAAAAAATTTCCATATTTCCATTTGCAATTGCCAAACTTTTTATTTTTTTTAATGAAAAGTCAAAATGTTTTCAGGATGATTCCAGTCATTTCTCTCACTACCACTGAGTACTGGATTGTTTCACTGAATGTTTGTATTTGAGAGAAGTTTGCAAACTGAGACCACACAGAAATGGGGGGGGGGGGAAGTAGCCCTGGTCACTAATGGTATTTGATTGTCTGGAAATCTGACCAGCTCCTCAATTTGTGAACTTCTTTTAACAAACAGACATGTGGCTTCCCTGAATGAAAGCAGAACTAATGATTACTTTCCCCCATGCACCATAATCATCTGAGTCTTATTTGGCTCAAGTCTGAACCAGCTCACTGTTATCCATTCCTCAATCTCACCTGAACCACAAGAGACACTCAACTACACTCTCCAGGCCCGCGATAAAGCTGATGAATGTTGCCGTCATTCTGAAAACACTTCAGCCCATGCCTCCTTGCTAAGTCTTTCATACATCTAGAACAGGAAAGTACCCAAAATAACCCTCTAGAATCTATTGGAAGGAAGAAAAGAAAGAAAGAAACAAAAATTACCGAGGGCAGCCCCATGTACTTCTACAAATCAGCACCTCATTATCCATAGATCAATGACTGCTAATAGATCTAACATCAGCACTGCAGAGCCTTTTATGATACTGACTTGTGTGGCTGCAGTTGTGCGTTAGAAGTCAATTTGTAAATACAAACAAGAAAAACACCTTGTGAGGTTATATATGCTTGATCAGGAAAGGACATTCTAAGCGCCATATGCGATAATATTCCTAGTTAGGCTTTTGCACCATTGTCAACATTGCTGGTGTCCCAGGAGTATAACAGAGAATTCATTCCCCCCCCCTCTATTTAGGGAAATCTTTCTTGTGCAGGATGATCTCATTAATCGGTGCTGGTGATTTTAATCTTTGACTTGCCTTTACACAACTCTGTATATGACAAGTGGCCAAGGCAGATTACAAGCTACTGCTTTAAATGTACAAGAAGATGTCGAGGTCAACTTCCTCATGACGGTGGCTTACCGTTTTAACTCAAATTGCAGGCTGGGGGAATAATGGGGTGGGTGACTGTGGGTCTTGCACATGTCTGGACTGAAATGAACTAGAGTGCAAGATCGACCCTCTGCTTCAAATTAGTTTCAGTTTACTTCTTGAAAAATATCTACTCTAGAAGAGTATATATGCATTGAAGACACAAATGAGATAAGGGCAACATGATCTTGCCACAGAAAAAGAGCAATTTATGCACCCACTCCTGGGCTTTCAGGCATGATTCCTGTTAATTTTAGTCAGGGGCTTGCCTTGGGAAGAAATGCAGAATTGGACCCAGTGGCACAAAGCAAGAGTGGTTACATTTTCTGTATTTGGAGTGGAATGCTTGTCAATATTTTGCAGCTATAGACTAAAGGTCAGGATCTGTGCTCTCTCTCCAAGTGTAATAGGGCGTGTGTAGAAAAGGGTGGGGTGGGAAGGGAAGGCTAGCATTGCAAAAGTAGATTTTTCACTTCCAGGATTCTTTCTTGTTACAGGGGCTGATCAAGTCCCTGGCATGGATTGGTATGCACTACAGAATAATCAGTACAAAGCATTCCAGCTATTGGCATGTCCCTGTGCTGAGTTCGCAGGGTGTGGATGTAACTGCCGGGGGTATCTCCTGGGGCCAGTTAAGCTGGCTTTTTGGACCCTTTACTGCAACCTCTACAGCAGCTCAAAAGCTATAAACCCCAAAATTGGCCCCTAACTGTATCAAGGCACTAATTTAGATTAATAATACTATTGAACAATAATCTGTTGTAACACAAAATGTTGGAGATAGTTTTAAAAATGCTGTCACATCAGCAGCATACCTATATGAGAATGCAAACCTCCCCATTGCCGCCCCCTCCCATGATATTCCAATATGTGCATTCTAAATTCT